TCTTAGGCGGCACGAAGCCACTGAGGTCAGAACATCATCAATCTCTCGCATCAATTTTACTTGCTCCATCTAACACCTCAAAGATATCCGACCTCAGTTTTTGCGCAGCCTCGCTATCTGCCATGACAGAGGTAAAGACGAGGTGTGGGATGAATGCCAGGAGAAGAAAAAAGGCGGATCAGAGTCGGTAGTGATCGCATGCTATGTCAATGCAAAGCTGACGACGACGGTGTGAGGAATGCTTTGCATGCCACCTACAGGGTTATTTATAGGCTACTTGAAAGGTCAATTTGTCTTTTACTCGCGATGCTCACACGTTAATTTAAGCCATATAGTGATGTCATTCATTTGGCTTTTTGATCTGCTTCACTTTATCTCCATTTTCAGCAAAGTTATGAAATGTTGCAGTATTTCCTCATGATTTAAACCACTTTAATCTTTGTGTCTCATACCACCCTAGTTTGTTAAATGAGTGCCTGGAAATTTTTATTGCCCTGCAGAGAACAATTTCCATTTAATTTGATTTCAAGTTTTCCCTTAGTTTGATTGCCTGATACCAGAAACAGGGCAATCCTGAATTTTTTACTTATATGTTCCTTTAAATGTAGTAAGGTAGAAATGGAAGGAGGTTTGAGAAAGTGAGAAAGGAAAGTAGGGATAAAGGGAGGAAGGGATGCTCGAACGAATGAGTGGCATAAGGCATTAGATTAGCAAAGTACATGCCAATATATGGACAGTGTCATTAAAAGCGACTACAACATTCAGTTGACTGACAATGTGCATTTAGAACCGATGAATTTTCATCTAAATACTCGCATTTGCTTTTGAAATGCATAGACCATAGGATATTGCCATTTGCAGGGAGTTAGTAGTTTGCTGTCAAGTAAGAGCAAGAGGCATCGAAATTCCTCCTTTTGACATTCCTGTCTCGTTGTTGATCTGTACCTATCCTAAAACGATGGTTGGAATTAATGCAAGGAATTGCACCAGCATATCCGCGAACGTAATAAATTACCATTCAAATTTACTCCACAGATATTATAGTACAGAAGGTGAAGTTTTAATGGGTTGGTTTCAAGCGTCACTTCGCCTATTTAAAAGCTATTTAAAAGTTGTGTCGGGGTGATCTTTACTTTTAGGTCAACTAGGTGGTTCATTTGTAAAATAGTTATACTAGTTTTCAAGCCATTAAGGCTAAACTAACGTAAACGAAATCAGTAATTAGTAGAACACAGGGGCAGAGTGATTTTATCGGTTACTTGCATAACAGAAAGCTGCAAGTTGATGGTGGTGGTATTTCTATGGGGGTTCGCTTTTAAGATGAGGGTGGACTGCATTGCCCCAAATTCATTTTATTTTTGGCTGTACAGGCACAATGGTCAAATACCTTAATTACAAATGCACATACTTCTCTAATGCTCGTGCTATTATTTCTGTGGCATAGAAGACAGCTTCTGAGGCGCATTCTGCACAATCTCCTACACACTCATAACACACACTATTGCAAATGTGTTCCTCCAACATTGGACACCCTTTACTGCTCCCTCGTTGGGTGGAGCCAAGCAACGCAATTAAATTATTTGAGTGTACTAAAGAGTGTGGGAGTCAGGAATAAGTCACTGTAATCACAAACGCAAGCACTTACAAGCGGCACAAGCCTGATGCACATCGCATTTGGAACCGTGACGTTCCTAAAAGGGCACACAGGATGTTACACAAACTTTGTAACCATGGAACCAAAAGAAATGTTGATATACATTAGTCGGAACGAAAGTAGACAGTGATGACAATCGGTTTATATGTAAGGTCCCTTTGTTACAGAAGGCAGGCCTTCAGAAAGTGCTTGTACTGATTATGTGAAGAGTTTGCATAAAGGGTAGTCCTTTAGCCCTTCTCTGTGAAGGCTCGTACGACCAATGGCCATCAGTACTAGTGAATGCAAAAATGGTATTCCGGAAAACTTTCATTCAAAATGCGCACTTGGTGTGGGTGTACGCGATTATCCACATCAACTCTTTCGCAATTTACACGGACTCAATACGGGCGCATTTCAATTGAAGTGAGCTTTAGAACGACACAAATATTGCATGGACCAATTTAGGGATTTCTTGAGCTTTGTGAACGTGATGACACTAGAGCTGAAGTGGCATATATTCCTCAAACCTTCGACAAACTACGTGCTTCCAGACAAGGTAAACTCTTGTCACACCGTCTGGCTGGAATTGACCCACTTTAAGCCAAATGGCATTAGCGGATACAGACATACCTTCTTAGCTTCATTGGCGCTCAGTCTGCTGAAGTGTAGGGGATAAGCCGGTTTCGGTGAATTCCAAATCAGAGAAATCTACTTAACGATGATAAAAACCACGAAGCAAATTAAATTGATACAATTACAATGTATGCTTTGATTTCTACCAACCCACCTCCATCACCTACAGAGCGATGCAGAGCTTCCACCGTTTTATCTATATCCTCAAGGTATGGATCTGTCACTTTCACCTTCAAAGTATTACAGCAAGTCTTCCTTGCTGTCAGAGCTACGGATGAAATGGTAACGAAGAGTAGGTAATTCAGACAAAAGAAGAAGATCCAAAGTGTCGATCGAAGTGAATTTTAGATAGTTGATTGTCGTGATTGCATAACTGAAGACGTCGACCAGATTATACATAAGGCACAATAAACAAAACAAATTGTTGTAAGAATATTCTGGTTAATCGCACTTGTATCTGCCTCAAGAGCCTCCTTTTGTGGATCCTCGAGCCTTCCCCAGAACGGCTGAAAAGCTTCCGTTGTGAACCGAAGGCTATGCTGCAGGGCGGAAGTATAATATGAGGAGTCCAAGGTGCCATTGTGCAGATAAATGCGCAATCAAACATGGCACCACAATGTTACAGTCGTGACTGAATTTAATCTGCCTGCTGAAGTAAGAAACGAATGAAGAGACTGGAAGGCATGGATTGCAGACCATTGCTGTCTAAACTACTATACGCAAAAGCAGTGATTAAGAATTAAATTTCCTCAAGCATTTTAAAATTCTTGCTCAAAACGCAGTATCTGGTAAAAGTCGATTTGATCTCTAAAATTCAGCGATTTAGTTAAAGTTTGATCTATTTCAATTCTCTCCATTTTTCTCATTGTTGCAGCTGAGTACACACGTATTGCGGCTAGTGATATTTTAACAGAGGGATATTTTCATACTCCTTCTTCTTCTTTTTCCCAATATCTTCCTAATAAAAAAAAATGCTTTTGGCCAGAGTGTTGACCTAAATTGGATCAAAGTAGGTATCGTTTGCTTAGGAAGGGAGGGCAAGCACATGTTCCTACGTTTGTCGCAAATGTTTGCTGACATTGGACTTGTGTTTTGAGGAGCAGAAAAATTCTAAGCAACGTCGAATGAAGAACAGACACAAAAAGAATGGAACGGAGGCATCAAACGGACGAAATGTAATAGACTTGATTGCATGGCATTGCATGCGCAGTTATTGGAACAATAAAGAACAGGCTTAACCACATGGGGATGTCTTTCGGTTGTCTGCAAGAATGTTTTGTCCTACCGATGCAATACAGAGACGTTGACGAATCTAGCTAAAACCATGCAAACATTCAAGGAAAGGCGTGAGTCTACAGCAACGCCTCCAAATGGGTCAAAAGTCCAATAAAACAATTTGATTGTGTACCTCCAATTCGATATTTCTCTGATCGGGAACTTTTCATCGTATCTCAAGAAATTCATCATTTGGCTTTCTTGAAGTAAAATGTATTTCCTTAAGTAGTCTCATTCCCTGAGCCTAGGTATCATAGAAAAACACAGCTTGTAGAAAGTACTAATATTTCTAAAGCACAAGTATAGAAAGTTAGCTAAAGTTCCAAACGTTCGGTATCAATTTCTGGTTGACAAACAAAGCGCCGGAGTAGGTCGGTGTTGCGAGGACACGCTAGCACCAAGGTAGAATCTCTGAATTGCAAGAAACACCAATTAATACAGAAGCCTTCCATGATCTTTAGACGGGTGAAGGTAACTGCAGACAAATGAC